TCAATCCCAGGGTGCCATTGTTGCTCTTTGCGGAGTAATCCTGTATATAAACCACGGATGCACCTACCTATGGATTCATATTTGCTCTCTTAGGATCTGCATGCGCCTTTATACTTTGATTAATTCTATTACATGCTTTATCCACAAAGAAAAGCACACCTGCACACAACATACTTAAGTGTGTATGTCTTAGGGTAGGACTTGAGACATTTCTGTTACTGCTAGTTTCAATAAAACAAATGACAATTACCAGAGTAAAACCAATCCTCTCAAAACACGGTCACACCTTTAACAATGAAAGGAGCTGCAAGGCGTGGCCCTCTTTTATTTTTTTAATTTAGAGACATCTGTAATTACCTAAAGTTTAGTGCCAGAAACAAATTGGGCACACTTGGAGTTTGCTTGTAATGGGATTTGACTCATCAGCACCCCCCCCCCTTTTTTTTTTTGATTTCTTTTTTGGCTTGTGACGTTGACTGTGTTGCCTTCTTCCTTCTGGCTGTGTGTGTGTACAGAGTCCTGAGTCAGAACCGCTTAGATCTAAGGCCTCTGTGGGGAGGGGACAGGGAGAATAGCTTGATGGCCTCCAGAGCCCATGGAGACCTTCTAGCCCACCTCAGTACTGTTCTGCTGGAGGGAGGCCGAGCTCTGTGTCTAGTCAGCTTGAGGCGCGTCCTCTAAATGTTTTTGTTAGCTTGTCCCACCGCATTCCCCACTTTGGCTCTGGAAGTGTGCTATGTGTGTAAGCCTTGAGCGTTTTGAAGTATAAAGCCTCCCTTTTCTCTGTCCAAGTGCAGTCTTTCAGGCAGAGGCCCACAGTGACCACAGACATGGAGAACAGGACTCTTAGCAAGCACAGATTGGGGGCTTTGGATGGCTGGCCCTGGGGTTCTTCCACCTGAACCCCAGGGTAGAGGTCATGGGTGGGGGGACCCAAAACACACCAACCAACTACTACTATAACAACAAAAGTAGCGATAAAGCAAACCCACAATAGAAGAAGGTGCTTTCCCTTCTCTAAGGTAGGAAAGCATGCATAGCCTCATTTTAGGTTGCGTCAACATTTTAGAAAATTATAGAGTACCCTAGCTGAATAGGTTACTAACCATGGCCTGCCAGTGTTTGTGAGTGATTACTATTATCTTTGTTGGCAGTTCTTAGGCTCAGTTCATGGAATACCCCTCTTCTAGCTGGGATAGACTTCAGGGGTGGGCAAGCCTGGGTAAGTGGGGTTTGTGTGTCTGTGGCTGTGGGTGTGTCTCAGACAGGCTGGTCCAGCACATCCTGTATGAGTTTGCACAGTTGGGCCTTGAGTCCAACATCTATATGTTCCACCATCCCTTAACATAGAACACCCTACTCATCGAGGTGGACAGATACTGACCACATCCAGCATTTATTTCATTATTCCTCAATGCATCCCCACTCCACTTCTCCAACACACACACACACACACACACACACACACCTGATTTCCAAGCAGTGGGTTGACAGCTACACAGTCCCAGTCTGCTCTCTTCTTGTTAGGCTGAGCGCACCCAGGACCATGACCACAGGATGTGCTTCAGATCCGTCTGTACACGAGACTAGTTATTTTCTCTCTTCCTGCCTAGCCCCCTCACTTGGCCCAGTGCTTTGTCTAGAGAGCTGTATATAAGCCACATTGGATGAGTAGCCTCAGGGGTGAGTGTTTGAGGAAGACCATAGGAAGTCAATGTACCAGTTATTTGAACTCATTATAATCCTTTCATTTTCTTTCCATCTCATTCCTTTTTCCTGACCCCCATGACTTCAGATCTTGGAGCAGTTATTAGCATTAGGTCACCTTTGGGGTGTGTGTGTGTGTGTGTGGTGTATGTGCGTGCATGTGAGCGTGTACACACCTGCCATGTATTGAGATCAGAAGAGGTCACTGGGGGTCCTGCTTTACCATTCTCTGCCTTATTCCCTTGAGACAGGGTCTGCCATGGAACCCGGAGCTAGACTGGTGGCCAGCAAGCTCAGCCATCCTTCTGTCTCCACTACTATAGCTCTTGGGTTATGGGCACATCTGGAGAAGGGGGGAAAAGCCGTGCTGTTTGATTTAAGCTGGCATGGAGCTCAGCCAGCTACACGGTAGACCCACAGCCATAGAGTTGGAAAGAGAGGTTGACCCGTCTGCTGAGTCCCCAAGACCAAAGCTGCCGAGTAGACCTGGCTAGCTCCCCTTTGCCGGGCTGAGTCATGGCATCTGTTAGAACTGATTGGTGCCATCTCTTTAGTCCCTGAACCCACTCAGCAGTTACCTTTGTTAAGTCCATGGTGGGTGGCTAGGTGCTGTTGGTCTTTGCTTCTGGGGAGCTCCTTTTCTGCAGAGGGGGAGGTTATGATGTGGATTCTCAGGGCCACCTGTCATTAGGGCTAAATTGTCTCATAACATGATAATTACTTTATCGTCCAAAGTAGGGGGAGCCTGAGGAAGGTGAACAGAGCCCGGAGTTTATTATTGGTTATCAAGAGGATGTTCATGAAAACATTCATTAGTGCTGCTCCAGAGAAAGAAACAGGGTGTCAGCAGAGCAGGCCAGCCCAGGCAACTTCGCCTTGCCTCTGGATGGGCCGGGATTCCAGAGGCTTAGTGGGGCTGGCCTATCTAGCCAGCGTTGACCTTGTGACTCGGGACAGAGTTGTGGTTTGGGTACGGGCAGGCTGTGATCAGTGCTTTTGAATCTTACGGTTTGCATTATTTAACCTCCCTTTCTGTCACTGTGATTTTGTTCTCAAAGGTAACGCCATCAAACACCTCATAATACTCACCGTCCATCAATCCGTCCATCAGGCCGGGAGCATGGCCTGCTTAGGGGACCATACACTGACCTTAGCTTACTGTATAACAGGAAATCTGGTTCAGATCTTAGCCTCACAGCTGCCCTGCTCCTCCCTGGATTCAGCTGGTCGCAAAGGAAGGCTCGTGGGCCCCATGCATACATGTGATTCAGAGTCTCCCTCTTCAGTCTCCCCGAATAATTTCTGTGTATGGAGAAGTTTAAGACGCCCTGTCCTAAGTGGCCATGCCTTAGGGAGGCCTGGGTCTTTTTTGTCTTCTTATTTATTTCATGTGCTGGGTCTTCCTAAAGTTTGACTTTAGCTGCAACGTCTGTGGCTCTTCTTCTCATCTTGGACGCCGCATCTACACCGCTAGGGACAATGCCAGTGTTCCAGGACACAGGTGGGTCAGGCAGCAGAGCAGTGAGTGGAAGTGGGGCCAGCTTCCTGTTCACAGTAGAAGCCAGCGTGGAATTACAGGTGCTGAGGGTGGCTTCAGCACGGAGACACTTTTGGTTTCACACCAAAGAGGGGGTGTTCCCGACATCGAGGGGGTATATACAGACCAACCCCCACCACACACACACACACACACACACACACACACACACACACACACGCACTCCTGCCGCCACCTCTACACCAGAACCGAAAGAATTATCTAGTCCAGCATGCCAGCCGTGCAGTGCTGAGCATAACTCCGCAGATGCTCACTGGACCGGTGCAGCCCTCTGGTGGGGAGGGTTAATGGGGCTTCATCCCCTTCAATGTGGGAGGGTGAGAGGGGAAGATAGCGGCCCCAGGTACTACATACAGACTACTCCTATAGAGTAGAGTGCCCATGGCTTGGCAGGGACTGAGAAGTCAGCTGAGTTAGAGATGGAGGGTGGAAAGTGACTGTAGCGCACGCCTGATATGATTAACCTTCCCCTTGGCTTATGTTGTGGAGGGTCCTGCGTGTAACTGCTCACGTTGCATAATCGGTTCATGCTGACGCTGCTGTTCCGGGCAAGCCAGCACACCTTGATGTGCGGGTACATGGCAGAACAGGGCTGTTCATCCCGTGGCTGAAAAGTGAAAAAGAGAAAAGAACCCAGGGTCCTGTGTGACCCGAAGACCCCCGATAGGCTCCACCCCAGAAAGGTTCTTTTACCTCTCAGTGGCAACATGGGTGAGGACCAAAGCTAAGACATAGACTTTGGGGGAATATTCTAGACCAGGACTATAGCGCTGCCTCTGTTGCTTTTGAGTCGGGCTCCTTGCTGTAGCCAACTCCTCACTCTGTAGAAATAGAGGGTACCCTATTTAAAGATGTTGCTAGTGCAGACTGTGGCTGAGCATTCCGACAGTGGCTCTCAGGGAATCACACTCATCTGCAAGTGGATTTTGATATATATATATATATATACTTTTTTTTTCTCTCCCAGGAAGTAGAGTTGTATTGTGCCACCCCATGAGCCTTGATTGGAGTGTCCATGGAGACAGGGACTTTGTGAGACAATGGTGTATGATTCTGAGGTCATTCATCTATCATTTTGTTCTTCCTGGAAGATTTCTACCATTCTGTCAGGGAACCCCACCCAGCTGCCTTGAGTGAGGACCCAGGCATCTAGCTGCCTGAGCCTAGACCCTAGCCAAGCGTGCAGTGTGGCTAAATCATGGGACCTCAATGAACTCAGTACCTCACTCAGAAAACCCACAAAGTGACAAGGGATAATAAGTTATGATTAGTTTAAGCCGCTAAGTATCAAGTGTGTGTGTGTGTGTGTGTGTGTGCATGCACTCACAGGCTAGAGGTCAACCCTAGTGCCCTCAAGGACTATCCACGTGTCTTTGGAGCAATGTTTCTTGCAGGGACCTGGGGCTCCTTAATTAGGTCTGACTGGCCAGCAAGCCCTAGGAGCCCACCTGATTCCCTAGCACTGGCATTGCAGACATGTGCCATTGTGCTTGTATTTTCATGTGTGCCCTGGGGACCAAACGCAGGTCCTCATGCTTGTGCAGAGAGCACTTCACCAGCTGAGCCTCCTCTGCAGCCCCTGCCCACCGCCATGCTTTGACGGACAGATATAGACGAATGGAATTTGCAAGTGGCTGCACGCCGGTCCGTCCATCTCTTCTCCTTGAGGTGTGTGTGTTGAGTGTCAGATCAAGAGCGAGCAACCCTGAATTCTTCCTCCTCTGCTTTCTTGCAGCACTTCTCGGAACTGCTGGATGAGTTTTCCCAGAACGTCCTGGGTCAGCTCCTGAATGACCCTTTCCTCTCAGAGAAGAGTGTGTCCATGGAGGTAGAGCCATCTCCAACCTCACCAGCGCCTCTCATCCAGGCTGAACACAGCTACTCCCTGAGCGAGGAGCCCCGGGCTCAGTCACCATTCACCCATGTGGCTACCAACGATGGCTTCAATGACGGTAAAAACAGAGCAACAGAACCCTGGGGGCCTTAAACCCTTTGACTGCACCTCATTGTGGAGACAGGTGTGGGCTGTCATCGTTAGCATCCACGTCAGCCGCTCACCCTCTGCCTGGTGCTGAGGCTGTAAATGCCAAGAGGGACAGCATGTACTTTTCTGTGCTAGGCTGCAGCTCAGGGAACTTGCTGTCACCGGAATCATCTTGTTCTCTTTGACCGGGGCCCTGGGCAGCAGAGCAGCCATGTGCAATCATGCTGGCTTCACAGCGGGAAGCCTGCTGTTTTAAGGGATTGTGTCATTTTCTTGACAAAGAATTGCTATGGTAATTCCTATCTAGAGAAACCTCTGGGGGCACCCTCTTAGCCATTTTCCAGCAAGAGCCTACATGTGTGGGATCTTGGCGAATGTTTTGGACTCTCTTGTTGGTAACCCTTTAGTGCCTGTTCCCGTCACCAGCACTGCTTCTTGGCATTGTTGAAGGACTGGCTTTTCTAACGCGGAGATGCTAAGGTGTCTTGATCGTTATTCTACAGGCCTTTGTTTGCTGCGTTTTCTACCTTTCCAGTTCTCCTCATGTGCATGCATCCACACACACATGTACACAACACATGTGTACATACACATGTTCATTCTGCCTTACACCGGCAGGATGAGGTGTAACACCTCCCAGAGAGAAAGGAAAAGGGAACGGGGCTAATTTGAGGACATAATGGCATTCTGCAGGTAAAATGAGCAACCTCTGCTGAATAGCATCTCTGCTGAGTAGCATCTCAGCAAATCATATTCTGCTCGTGGTGCCTGCCTGCTCCTGTGATTTGTTCGGTTCGTTTCAGAAATGCCCTCAAATGAGATGTAGAATATGCTCTCTGTTGTGACTAGTACCGTTTTCTACCCTTAGCCTCATCACAGATGGTGTGTTGCCATAGCAACATAGTACAGCAGAAGTTATGTGAAACACATGAATCGCTTATTTCTCTAGTTTTCCGTGTAATATCGTCAGACTGATTGACCATGGGTAACTGAAACCGTGGGAAGTAAGCACAAATGATGGGGATGTTATCCTCATTCCTCACTGAGTGCAGGACAGCTCAAGGAGGTCAGTTGTCTGGGTTTCAGGTTAAATTCATGTAAGCCCTGCATTAATTTCATTATTTTTTAAAATGGACCTTTGGTGAGTGGCTGGACAAAATGACTGTTAAGATTTCTCCGAACTCTGAGATTCTTTGTGGGGATGTTCTTGCCTTTATGCAAGGTTCCTTGTATTCTTACCATTGCTTTGTCTATATGTGTCTTATAATTCCTTTGAAACCTCTATCTCTAGCCCTTCTTCATTTGTGGAGATAATCTTCAGTCTCTTTTGCATTAGCTATTTATACTGTGTAACAAATATCCCCCCCCCCCCGAAATTAATGTCTTATGAGGTTTGTACTTAAGTTCTCCAAAGTGATAGTTGTGTGGTTTTGGTTCATGATTCACCATGAGATAGGAATCAGATGTTGGCCAAGACATTCCCAGGGTTAGACACTCTACCCTAAAAGCAGCTCTCTAGAATAGCCGATAAGCTATTGGTGGTAAACTGGCAATGGGTCTCCCAATGGGAATGCTCTCCTACAAGTGAGAGATCTCCTGTTCCTTTCCTGACACAGCCAGGTAAGAGGCTCCACTGCCCACACAGGATAGCTCTGACTCATTGAGATAGGGATTTGCACAAGAAGGTGGTGCCCTTCAGGAGGTGCAGTCCCTGGAGGTCCTCTTGGATGCCAACACTGGCACTGTGAAGTGAATTCTTTGTGTCTGGGTTCTTTTACCTAATATTACTATGCTATACACTCTTCATTCATTTGCCCAGTGGGCTTTTGTGTTCATATTCAAGGCCCTGAAGAAATATAAAGAAAAAAAATGCTCATTGCTCTCTAAGAATTTACCAGGAGGGAAGGATTAGAAATGTGCAGTACAAAACTGATTATGAAAACATTGTACATATGCCATCCCTAGTGGAAGCTATTCACACCTGTTCCAAATTCTACATTGCCACTGGCTGGCTCTGGGAGGGCCATTTAACTTTCCCAGCCCAGCTTCCCCGTGTGCAAAACAAGAGTGAGGACGGCTCTTCATAGTTTCTCTTGAGGATTAAGTTTGGTAGATTTTATTTTCTCTCGGGGTCTCACTGATAGCAAGGAAGTTCTTGGCTCTATTGCAGCTGTAGTTCTGCAAGAGGACAAGGTACTTAGACTGCAGAGGAATTTTTAGGACTTAATTTATTTATGGGGGGGGCATGAGTGTGCACCTCCTGTGGAGGTCTGAGGAATCTTTGCAGGAATTAGTTCTCTCTTTCCACCATGGATTTGGTTCATCAGGCTTAGCTGAAACTGCCATTACCCAATAAGCCATCTTTCTGGCCTCTCAGTTTACCGGCCTATAAAATGTAGTAAGAAATTAGCTCATTAGTGGGTCATTTGATTTTTACTAGTTTGTTTCTTATACATCAGCCAGGCCCAGAGAACATGCCCCAGATTTTAATTGTTTAGGGGACAGAAATTAACTGTAAGCATAATAATACTATTTATTTGTTTAGATTATTAGTTATCCTTGTATTTTTCAATTCCCTGTGTAAATTGGGTCTCTTCTATATTGTGAGTTCTGTTGTGTGTCTTGCAGTTGGCATTATGCTTGGTACTTTGAAGAGGCTCAATGAATATTTGTATCATTGAATTGTACAGCCAGTTGTTAAAAAAGAAGAGACCGGTGATGGAGCATCTGTTTCTGACCCATGGGGTAAACTCATGGAGGCCATTGCTCTGTTCTGCTCACTGCCTCTCTGCATGCGCAACACAGGCAGGGTTTCACCATTGTGAGCTCCTGGCTGGTGGATTCACCATTGTGAGCTCCTGGCTGGTGGTTTCACCATTGTGAGCTCCTGGCTGATGGATTCACCATTGTGAGCTCCTGGCTGGTGGTTTCACCATTGTGAGCTCCTGGCTGGTGGATTCACCATTGTGAGCTCCTGGCTGGTGGATTCACCATTGTGAGCTCCTGGCTGACGGCAGCTTTCATTTGCAGGATCACACGTGGTGCCAAAGAGAAGTAGGCGTGTTGCTAATGCTTTATGGCTCGATTTCAAATCAATGTCATAGCAGTTTTTTAGTACTGCACCTTATAGATGCCAATCAGCAACATATGGAAAAAAATAGAATGCACAGGAGCTTGTAGGAAGGGAGGGAGTACTGAAATCTGAGTGACAATACACAGGTGATACAAAGACACGTGTGGAAGAGGGAGGAACTGGTGTGTGTCTCACACGTGTAGTGTGTGTCTCACACGTGTACTGTGTGTCTCACATGTGTAGTATGTGTGTCTCACACGTGTAGTGTGTGTCTCATATGTGTAGTGTGTGTATCTCACACATGTAGTGTGTGTGTCGCACACGTGTAGTGTGTGTCTCACATGTGTAGTGTGTGTGTCTCATGTTTAGTGTGTGTCTCTCACACTTGCAGTTTGTGAGTCTCACATGTTTAGTGTGCGTGTCTCATACGTGTAGTTTTGTGTGTCTCACACTTGTAGTGTGTGTCTCACACATGTAGTTTGTGCGTCTCACACTTGTAGTGTGTGCGTCTCACACTTGTAGTGTGTGTGTCTCACACGTGTAGTTTGTGTGTTTCACACGTGTAGTGTGCGTGTCTCACACGTGCAGTGTGTGTGTCTCACACATGTAGTTTGTGTGTCTCACACGTGTAGTTTGTGTGTCTCACACGTGTAGTTTGTGTGTCTCACACTTGTAGTGTGCATGTCTCACACATGTAGTTTGTGTGTCTCACACTTGTAGTGTGTGTCTCACACGTGTAGTTTGTGTGTCTCACACTTGTAGTGTGTGTGTCTCACACGTGCAGTGTGTGTGTCTCGCATTTGCAGTTTGCTGTTCAGAACACCCAAATTAGAGCTGGCCTGCTGAATTCAGTAGACTAACTTAGCTTCAGCTCCACGTGTAGGATGCACACCTACTGTGTGCCAGACTGTGCTTAGATACTTACGAAACACAGCATTAAAACATGTTCCTGCCTGTGAGGAGGAAATCTGCCTCTGAAGAAAGCATAATGTACTTAATACCATATTAGGCAGAGTTTGAGCAGTGTTCCAAGAGGAAATTAAAGTGTAGGAATTTCCAGGAGGGAGAGCATGCTCCCGGAGGAGTCAGGAAGAGTGGCTGAAAGAAGCAGGGTCCCAGCTGGGCCCTGGCTGGCTGCCTGGAGTCAGCCCCCTCACCCCCCACACCCCTACCCCCCACCCCCAGGAGCTGACTCCAGGGCCTGAGATGGAGAGCAGAGGAGCAGAAGGCCCGGACACAGTGGCCCTTTGAAAAAAGATCCCCAGCGAAAAGATTGCTCGCAGAGCAGGTTTCCAGAGGTCTGGGGTTCCTTCCTGTTCCCTTCATTAGGTGTCTCCCTTTGTCTCCGTCTGGACATACTGTTTCTCCGTTGTGTTCTGTCCCTGAAGTTCCTTCCCCTGTGGAGGTTTGCCTGGTGCCGATACTGTTTGATGTAGCTTTTATTTGACTGGCTGACTTGGAAAACTGCTCAGTTCATTTTCAGCGTATCCATTTCCTTGCTGATTTTCCCCCCCTCTAGTTTTGGACTCCCTGCTCCAGTTCACTGTTTGGCTCACTTTGGAGACTGTCTTGTCAGGGAATAGACTTTCTTAGCGCACCTGCTTACGTGAGTCATCTATATAGTCATTAATTCTTGTTAATAAAAGGACTCTGAATTCATTGTGGGCGTTTCAGCCATATTGGGGACTTGGGGTTTCATTGTGGGAGCTGGTAGTTTGGGAAGGAGTGATGGAGAAGACATCCCTTAGGAAGACTCCCAGAAAGCAAAAGAAGCAGATAGAATTGGCTGCCGGTGGCAGGGGGGGGGGGACAGTTAAAGCTAGGAGACCCATTCAGCCTTACAGACTTTGAAAGCCCAGCAAAGAAGCAATACAAATATAAGACGGTGTGTGTTT